AAAGAACAAAATACAGATGAACAATTTAATGAAGACAATTTAGAAGTACCATTTATGATACAAGAAGATAAAATGCATTTCTCTTTTAAAATGCAAAGAAATGATTATGATTATAAAATAACTCAAATTGAAAAAATAGATGTTTTAGAAACTCTTTTTTTATCTGGAAGTGTGTCCAAGATTAAAGTTAATGTCATCGGTGATGTTTTTGACTCTGAGAAATTTCTAAAGAACTTTCACCATTTTGCAAACGACTTTCAAACCATAATGAATGAACATAGTAAAAACTACTATGTCTCTGAGGATATTTTTAATATGATAGGGGCACCTGATCTATTCCAGATTGACATCGACGCATTCATTGAAGGTAAAACTCTCATTTTTGACATCAATTTTATTGGAAATTTTAAAGAGAAAAAGTCGAAAAAATATGACGTTCAAGATGATATTATTAAAACCGAACAAAACAACAAGAACATTGAAAAATTGATGGAGGGGTTTGTTCTTAAAAACGAGATTTATAAAGGAGAAATAACGCTATTTGTTGATCTCCATGTTGAAAATTGTAAAGCCGACTTGAGTCACAAGAATGTAACTTTCGAGCTCAAATTTGGGAATTTTGAAAAGGAAAAGCCGAAGTTTGTGTTGAGAAAGGGTGGTTTATTGACTTCAAATTTCTATATATCGAAGTTGAGTATCAATAATTTAGTATTTAAAAGGGTGGATATCCCAAGTGTAAACACTTACGTCTTTAAAGGTGTGAAATACGAAATAAACAATTTTGATAACAAAAAGGAGTGTTTTGTGACATGTTTGTCTGATTGTAATTACACAGAACGACTTAAAAAAATCGACATCAATAAAACAATTGTTTTCCCACAAAACAAGATAATAAAATTTGAACCCAAATATATTTGTGATACAGTATTATACACTGTTGGCTATCGGTTTATGGGAAATATCCCAAAATTTGAGCTTGTTTTAACATTGATAAACAGAGATGATGAAAGTGTGAAACGGACATACTCTAAACAAAAAATAAAAAATGAAAAAACCATAAAACAAGATGTTTCAGATGAAAGCGATGAAGAATATATTCAAAGTGAAGAAAGTGAAAATGAAAGTGTTGAAGAAGCAGATAAATGCTATTTATGGGGTGTTAATTAATAAGTAACAATATTATTGAATATTCTTTGTTATTATTTTATTTACGTTTATACCATATACCTCAGTAATTGTTATTAAAAAAGATAATAATTGGTATTTTATTAATAATAAAACCTCAAAAATATATACAAATAAAACAATAATTATATTTAAAAAACATAAATAAAAATAAAACTATTATTAGTAAAAACGACAACGGCAGGATTTGAACCTACGCCTCAAATGAGAAATGATTTCGAGT